CTTAGTCGGTGGAACGCGTACCAAGCGGAACCCCCAAGAGATCCCTAATATTTTGATCATTAGACTATATTAAATACTAGTTCGTGTCAATTTCACTATGACAATCTCGATTGTTTAAGCATATGAAACAATAAATAAAAATCGAAGTGTGGATATCACGATTAAAAGAATTTCTGTCACTGTCTGCCACATGTAAATTCGTTGTTGCTTTGCTCTATACCATGCTGTTGGATGAAATTTGTTTTGATATGTGAGCCAATGTGTTTGTAACTTCCATTAAAAGATAATNNTGGGGAAAGTCTAAAAAATAGGTAGCATATAAATACCATAAAAATTAATATGGATAATGTTTGCATGATCGAACAATATTTCCCAGAAGGACACTAGCGGTTTCGCGTTAACTGGGTATCAGGTATATATATCCAGCAATCTCTCATTTCGTCATTTATATACTTTAATTCCAGATGTAAATCATCTCCACAAATCTCTTATTGGCAAAGCAGACATTATAGCTCTCTCTCTTTCTGGTTGGCTGATATCATATTTATATATATATATATAAACGAAAATGTATATATTTCATAATAAGTAGTATGCGAATGACTGGACACAATTTCCCTGGAAGTACACGACCAGTTTCGCGGTTCTTGCCGCTCGTCAGGCATGCGTATTCGGTAATCTTTTATCAGTTCATTCACAGCTAATAGGCACTATTGAAGGTCCTGGGTGTGAGTTCCAGTCATTGAGAGATCTATCTGTGATTGCCCACCAGTTAAATGAATTTGTGTGCCATGGAAATCTCTGGGGTGACCGACAAAGATGACTGAACAGCTGTTTTGTCATGTTTAGGACTCGTCGCTGTTGTCCTATTTAACTATGGTTTTCGACTCCTGACCCGAAGGTTCACGGTTCGAGTCCTGATTGGAACACAGAACGTACGTACTTCTGGTCAATCTTAGTTAGGACAAAACAGTTATTCAGCGTTCATTGTCGGTCAGGACAAATAGAGGAAATTGAAGTAGTTTTTGGTGCATCTGTATATATTTTAAACGATGAAAGGTGTGATTCTGAATGCATCCAGTGGCAATCAATAATCTGTTTATATGACTGTTATTGTTTACATTCGAAGAATCACTAATCAAATAGTTTTCCTCTCTAACCTCGTTGGTTTGACCGAATGGTTCTCATTGGCGCCATCGGATTCTTTCGTGTTAATTTTCGGCAAAACAACCAGATTGTAACTGCTTTTGGGTCGTTGCTTCGCTAAATCCGTCGCCTCTCTCTGTTCTGCGGGTACAACAGCAGACAACGGGCGAACGGGATTGGGCTTCAGTACCGGAGGGGATGGGAACAGATCTGATGGATTCAACTCCATGTCCAACTCGTCACCCATTGCGCGAATTCTGTTTTGCTGTTCTCGCTTTCGTCGTATCTAGAAATCAGAGAAAACATCAGCGGAGATGAAACTGACCGTCACTTTCGAACTAACATTTAATTTTATGCCTGAGTTTCCAAATTTGATGAACAGTAGACGAGGTAAGCCCTATAGCCATGAGGACCTGCTGTTCATTGATGGAAACCAGTAACCTAAGCCCTGGGACTTGGAGTGGCGAAGCACATTAGTCCCCTCTAGATCAGGTGTGGTATTGAACCGGACGACAGCAAAGCTGACTACCATGAAAGCTAGCGAACATATTTTTTGGTGAATTCATTTGCAATAGCAATATCAAGAAAATAGCTATCCTGAGAAGTTTATTTGATAGCACGTGAAGTGAAAAAAATGAGTCCAGAAAACAACCGAGCGGAGAAGAAAGTTCTTTTCATAAAACTTCCATTCAAAGGAGATGTCGCCGCTGAAAAGGTCAGTAAGGCTTTATCCACCGAACTGAAATTCTTCCCGTTGATGCCGCTCAGCTAAGATATTGTTGTGTCCGGATCTCGTTTGATCACAATATACACACAACAAGATATCACACGATGACACACGAGGAACACACGTACCTCAACGGCCACACTTTTCGTCTAGCCTCACGAGTACGATCATAGCACAGATTGGACGCCACGAGCACTAGTAGCCTTCTCCCAGCTATGTAAGCAAGAACACAGTTAGTGCACAGCGAACGTGTATTCGACACACAGGAAGCAAGTCAATTTACAAGTTTTAATCTGATGCTTATATGGGTCTCAAAATAGCATCGATTAAATGCAATAAAAGATTATGGCAATCAAGTACAGTTAGCAAATTTCGATCGATCATAAGTCACGGAGTTAGCGAATTTCAATCGATCACGGATCGGACGGACGGAGTGAATGTCTCCGTATGACGCGATATGATTGATTATTCTCCGCGAGATTGGTATTGATTGGAGATGTTCCGAATTGCAGACACTCGAAAAATAGTCAGTTTTAGGTAAAAATAGTCTTTTTACCTAACAGATATGTCTTCTCTACCTCGCCGAATATCCGACGCGAAATCAAAAATAAGCCTCTTATGTTGATTTCAACTATGATTGTCCATCAATTCATGTACGCTTGTAGTCGAACAAGAAGGCAGTTATCTGGACGTATCAAAAACACAGACCACGCTGACCCATGATGATGGGAGTGAAGCTGTGTCCAGCTCGATCGTAGCTCATTTGGTAGCGACCGGCCAAGTGGTAGACATGCACTCAGCATTCACAACATTTATCGAGTCTCAGCACACAGCCCGAAGGCAATACGGTTTCGGACTTGAGCGACCTCAGAGGCAATAAGGGTCCCACTCTTGAAGCCCGAACTGTGTGTGCAATGAAGATTTATCCAGGCTCTCAGACTCCCCTGGACAAAGGAGGAGAAAATCGCTTGTTCACATGACCATGATTTAACATACAGTCAATCTTCTACCATGCCTCACCCCTCGGAAGATCGAAAAAGTGGGTAAATTCCAGGAACTGCGACATAGCAGGGTAAACAGTAGTAGATGCTAATAAGTAGTATAAAAATCGGTTGACAGCTTTGTCACAAAATAACCCGGATCGACGAAAAGTAGGTTAATTCCATTGGCTGTTCCCAATTTTCATAATTATAAACTGTTTAGTTATAACGGATTTAGATCTACCGTCCTGCCTATTCTTTATTTATAGAAGAAGTTTAAACGTTTATGACGCCCTCAGGTTAATATCGGTACATTGTATGCGGTATTCATCCCTTTTCCAGTTCTGTGTATAGTTATCCCGAAACTACCTACCTTTCTTCAAGGGAACTTTTTCTGACCCAACTATTCCATAATAATTCCAGATATTCCTCTATTCCGTTGCAATGTTAGGCTAACTACAGAATTGATTATATGACGTCTACCATAATATACAACTGTTTCAGCTATAATAATCACATCAGTGGTAACTCATTCAAGGAAAACAAACAAAGGTGAACCAGTTCAAATACAGTAATAAGGAAATAGCATCTAAAATGAGTGAAATATCTTTTACTGTGTATACTCGGAACATTGACTATCTTCAAACTGATTGTCCTCTGTGCAACCTATTCATAATTTTCTAGTGAAAAATGTGTACCATCAGCTTCTGCAGACGCCTATTCATTCGTTCGCTTTTGTTGTTAACAGTATATGCTCAAACCGATTGATGCATTCATCATGACCGTTGTTGGTGGGACTGAGTTCAACACGCGATGCCATTATGTTATTCATAAACCATACCTTTTTCAATTTAAGATGTCATATTACCATATGGATAGTACAATAGTCCGGTTACTCCATCGTTTCACACTGTCTTTTACTTTTTTTGATGATCTTGTTATCAAGTCCACTGGGTCTGCCAAAGACTAGCTGTTGTAAACAAGGCGTAGTTTCTCACTCGGGTTAGGTGAGCAAGCACCAGGTCTCTTGTTGCGGTGACCTATCAGACCGACTGATAAATGAACCCGATCGGTCGTGTGATTTTCGGGCCGGCATAGGAGGATAAGTTCTGAATAGGACGCTGCTTAAGTGCTTGGGAACATTTTGGAGGCAGCCGTACCAATTTGACGTTGGAGAATACTGCGGCTTGGTTATGGCAAGGGGCGCTGTCCATAAATGGTAAAATAGAGCGCCTTAGAGAAACCATTTTGCGGTTGACATCGGACAGCCAACTGTGAAATAACGCAGTCGTCTTTGAAGAATTATAACTGCATCTACACCTCGGAGGCATCGTGGAGTTTGAAACTTTCCAATCCCCAACGGTGATAACTTTTCTCCAGTCATGCTCCCACAAAGCAGTAACGTGACCCTGTCTNNNCCCTGTCTTTGGAAAATCTTCCCTTTCAGACCTAATGTTCTTTCTGGGAGCTGCCTGTAATATAAATCTGTTTCACCTATACTGAAAATATCAGTCAGCATATCTGTGTATCAATTGCGGTAACCCCGGTCGAAACTCGTCTGCTGCATCACGTGGTACCGCTAAACTTTCCCCACAGGCTTATAAAGTAATGCACATGAGTTACTTGTTCCTTACTTTGTACGATTGAATACCATATCTGTCTGACCAAGAGGGAAACCAACCTCTGGAAGCCTTGAAGTCATTGTGATGTAATATTCGTGCTATCTGAATTGCTTTCTTACGTAGGATGCCCTCCACCATTGGGAACTCTCCGCGCTCTTCCCTCATAAAAGCCAAATTTGCCTCATTCACCTCCTTGAACTTTTCTTTGGTTTTCAGGTGGCATCTTTCCTCAGGGGCTCCAGCGTTCAAAAATTCTCCGATAGTCGTTTGATGGGAAACAACATTGTAGACAATTTTTCATGAAATTCCAAGTGATTTGGCTAAGAAGCTCTGAAATTCACCTGGCTGTTTCAGCATTTTCAACACATTCCGCGTCTCTCTGATCGATAGGCGCTTGCACATTTTGCCGTCAAATGACGCTGTCTTCGATCACTTACATCGGTGTGACTTTCTCGCAAGGATTATCCAATCAGTGAACAGTGCCATGAACGCGTCACACTAGGTGCAACAACATCGGTTGAGTGCGACATTTCTGGGTGGATGGTCAATGGTCGTTCTGAACATCGATCAACGACCAGGTGAGTAGGTATCGGGAACTGCGACATCGCATAGTCAGAAACTACGTTATTTAGCATACGGTTGGTTTGGGTTTTTAAAAAAGTGGGAAGATATTGGAAAACGCGACTTCTTAGGGGTGCGACATGGCAGGAGATTGATAATTTTGCTTATTTACTCCAAACAGCTCGCTAATTTCGAGTTTTATCGGGCTCATTATCACACACATAACTCACCCCCTTTTCTGTTTGACCCCACTGAAATTGTTTCATATCAACATGACTTCATCCAAAAGAAGACATACGTGCGCCTATGTTGTGTTCCTAATCAGTTGACATATTCCGTGAGTGGAGAGGCTAAAGGACTACGGGTCGTGGCTAAAGCATTGCGGGTTTTGGCTAAAGGAATGCAGGTGAAGGCTAAAGGATTGTGGGTTTTGGCTAAAGCTTGTTGGGAAAAGGTGTAGATGGTGTCCATTAAGCTAGGTTTCACGCCGATTTCGGATACATCGATCAAATCTTCACCTTCCGATTACCGCTAGAGTACCGTCATACCTATAAAAAACCAGCAATCATTGCGTTCTTAGGCATCCGTGCAGCCTTCGAATGTCGATAGGATCGCACTATGGAACTGTTTGTTGAAGTATGGAGTACCTGAGGAGTATATTTCGATCACAAAAACGATGTACCATCATACTTCAGGTCGGTTTGGCTTAATGTCAGGTTTCACCGTCCTTTACAGTCTCCGGTAGAATGCGACAAGGCTGCTCTATATCCCAATTCATTCAACTTTTCCATTAATGATGCTCTACAGAAATGTTTGTTAGGTCTAGCAAACGGGGGAGTCGAACTCCTCCCAGGGAACAGAATCCTTGAATTAGAATATGCCGATGACATCGTCTTATAGGGTGACAATACGTAAACTGTCCTGCACGTTTTAAATCTCTTGGTGATCGATGTACCCAGGTTTGGTATTTGCTTTGCACCATCTACTTGCAAAGTACCTCCTCAAGATTGGTGGGAGCCCGTGCTTGCACTCACCCTATCTAGTGATTGAGAGCTTTAAGTACCTCGGGAGCTTGATTGCAGCTGGTGGTGGTTTTGGAGAGGACAGAAAACCACGAATAGCGAAAGCTATAGCAGCTTTTGCCAACTTGTGACACTTTTGGCACCGCTATGACAGCTGAATCTTTATTAAAGGAAGGATGTGCATCACCGCGGTTCGTAGTGTTCTGCTTTACGGTTGCGATACCTGGCCTCTTCGCGCTGATGATGCGAATCGACTTTTTCATTTGACCACAGATGTCTTCAAAGCATTTCATCGGGTGAGCAATCCGAGGTTCGATGTTGTGAATTGTGTGTGGTTAGCCGTTCTCGAAAATAAGTGATCACTCCACACCGCC